GGGGAGGGATTCTTTGTTGAATAAAGAACCGTTCGCAGCGTTTAAGCCATGACAAGGGTTCAGTTTTTCCATCATATTGGGGAAACTCCAATTTAGAAAAACGTGGAACCATGGAATCCTCAGTGTGGCGCTGGTGCGGCTCGGTATCCCTGCGTCGTCCCTGTCCGAATGGCTCACAGGAGTTGTCGGTCAGAACCTGCTGGACAGCGCTGGTCAGTGCTGCGATGGATTTCTGCATCTCGGTGAAGGCTGTGGGCAGGCTAACTAAACCAGAGACCGTGGTTTGAAGGGCTGCCAGTTGATCCTCGACATCGATCTGACGTTGGTCAAAGCCTTCAAGGAGACTCTTCATGTTTTCTGTTGCAGCAGAATCTGGTCCCGTTCCCATCGTTCCTGATGCTGATACCAAATTGTTAAGAACTCGCGTATAAGACCTTGTCCAAGGTCTCAAACGAGATCTCAGGACAGAAGAAGAGCCTACTGAGACCTTAGTATCAATGTTGTTATACTAAGATTATTGAATAAAGCAGAGAATAAATATGAAAAGTCTTTAGGAATTAACCCGTGCCCGACCTAGTCAAGACACAACAAATTAATTCTCCAAAGCTCCTTTATTAAACAATATTAGGCTCCTTAAATAGAGATTACAAGAGTCCTAATAGGAAGCATAAGGATAATAGGAAGTTTCCTAATTGAATAAAGAAATAACTATGAATTGGAAATAACTAGGATCTAGTTAATTGAATGCTGCCAGCTTTCCTAATTAAATTAGGAAATAACTATGAATGGGAAATAACTAGGATCTTATTAATTAAATGCTGCCAGCTTTCCCTTAGCCTTCCAGTCAGCCACGTAAATCACCCTGATCCTTCTCGATTGGCCCAACTAAGTTTCCTAAATCTTTTCGCCCAGGCCTTCGTTGATATACTTGTCCATAGAATGGATCCATAACAGTTTTCAACTAGAGTTCCAAAATATTTATGGGGAGATGCTGTTTTACATGCTACTTATTTAATTAATAGGATGCCATAAAAAACTTTAGGGTTTAAAACCCCTATTGATACACTTCAAAAATGTTTTCCTACAACCAGACTTATCAGCACTCTTTCCTTATTGTTAACAATCCTGACAGAACAACAAGCAAATTTGACCCTAGGGATACAAAATGTGTTTTTCTAGGACTGTCTTCAACTCAGAAAGGATATAAATGTTTTGATCCTACAACAAAAAAGATGTTTGTTACAATGAACACTAGTTTTGTTGAAAATCAACCTTTTTTTAATACTCATCTTGAGGGGGAGAATTCTAGTGAAGATGGTAATAGTGTACTGCATATTCATGAAAATCTTGAGTTCCTTGACATTAATCTAGATGCATATCATAGTAGAAACTTAGATACATCAGAAATAGTCAAGAACTAGAAGAAAATGAAATAAATATAACTGAAACGAGGAAAGAAGATGAGCAGCAGACAAGCAGATTTTTTGGCAAGGTATATGAAAGGAGAGTTCCAAATCAAAGAATAGAGGACATCTCTGATTCTGCAACTGCTCAGGAATCTGACTGACTCAATACCAGCAAAAGAGAAAGGTAATAATTTCAGTGATCTAAATTTACCAATTGCTCTCAGAAAAGAGAAAAGTTCATGTGTCAGATGCCCCATCTCAAACTATGTGTCTTATTCCCAGTTATCCTTATCATTTGCAGCCTTTACCTCTAGTCTTTCTTCTATTGCAATTCCCTTAACCATACAGGAAGCTCTATCTAAACCTGAGTGGAAGAAAGCAGTTTTGGAAGAGATGAATGCTCTTGAAAGGAATCAGACATGGCAGATTGTAGGATTACCCAAGAACAAACCTACTGTAGGTTGTAAATGGGTTTTTACTCCTAAATTCAAGGCAGATGGAACACTTGAAAGGTACAAGGTCAGGTTAGTTGTCAAAGGATATACACAAACCTATGGCATAGACTATACTGAAACCTTTGCCCCAGTTGCAAAACTGAATACTATAAGGATTCTCTTATCTTTAGCTGCTAACCTAGATTCGCCACTTCAGCAGTTAGATGTGAAGAATGCCTTCTTAAATGGGAAACTTGAAGAGGAAGTATACATGAGTCCTCCTCCTGGACTTGAGGGTAAATATGGCTCAAAGGTGTGCATATTGGAGAAAGCCTTGTATGGACTTAAACAGTCCCCAAGAGCTTGGTTTGAGTGGTTCACCCAGTTCATAAAGAGATAGGGATTTCAGCAAGCTCAAGCTGATCATACTCTTTTTATGAAATTTTCAAGTAAGGGGGAGATTGCAGTATTAATTGTTTATGTTGATGATATCATTCTTACAGGGGATTATTATAAAGATACTGCAAGTTTGAAGGAGAAACTAGCCCATGAATTTGAAATCAAAGATCTGGGAGAACTGAGGTACTTTCTTGGCATGGAAATAACTAGATCAAAAAAGGGAATTGTGGTATCACAGAGGAAGTATGTACTAGACCTTCTTCAAGAAACAGGTATGAGTGTATGTAGACCAATAGATACCTCAATTGATCCTAATCAAAAGCTGGGAGATGTCAAAGAGGGAGTTCCAATTAATGTTCAACAATATCAAAGATTGGTGGGAAGATTGATTTATCTTGCACATGCAAGGCTAGACATTGCTTTTGCAGTAAGTATGGTGAGTCAGTTTATGCATAATCCATCCCAGGAACATCTTGATGCTACTTACAGAATCCTAAGGTATTTGAAAAGTTGCCTAGGGAAAGGATTATTCTTTAGAAAAAGTAACAGTAGAACTGTTGAAGCTTTTACAGATGCAGACTATGCTGGTTCAATTACTGATAGAAGGTTTACTTCTGGGTATTGTACCTATGTATGGGGAAATCTAGTGACCTGGAGAAGTAAGAAGCAGAATGTGGTTGCTAGAAGTAGTGCAGAATCTGAATTTAGATCCATGGTTAATGGAATCTGTGAACTACTTTGGATCAAAAGAGTCATGTCAAAGCTGAATATGAAGATAGATCTACCTATGAAGTTATATTGTGATAATAAGGCAACCATTAATATTTCTCATAATCCAGTGCTACATGATCGGTCTAAACATATTGAAGTGGACAGACACTTTATCAAAGAAAAGATCGAAGCTGGGATTGTGTGTACTCCATTCATATCTACCAAAGAACAGACAGCTGATATCTTCACAAAGGGATTGTTCAAACCAGTGTTTGAACTACTTATAAGCAAGTTGAGAATGTATGATATATACTTACCAACTTGAGGGGGAGTGTAGAAAAATGTGACATGTGTTTGTAATTTTTAATTAATGTACGTGTGTAGTGCATACTTGTCATGGCGTCACCTTATCGTCACCACATCGTCTTGGCGCTAAGAGAGGCTCGCCATATGTTGTCGACTCGCCTTAAACCTTGTGATGTTGAAGTTACGTCCTTGTGGCGTCAGGAGAACGCCAAAGACGCCTAGGCGTCGAATTATTTGAACAGGAAGCAGGGCGTAATTATTATAACAGGCCCAAACCCAAACCCAATTTTTTGAACCCATCAAATAAAATAAACCAGTTCGATCCATCTGCGCTCGACGACTTTCCTAACGCAGCATCCATCAGTGCCCAATCCATCTCCCTGGTCCGCAGTTTTACTGCTTCAATTTTTTTCTAGACTTGGACTTTTTTACTTTTAACTTTAGTGTGTTATGTGATTCGTTTTTGTTTAGTTATTACTCTAGCTGGGTACGTGGGTTTAAAATCATCCAACTTTGTATATTTAACTTTGTATTTAATATTTCTCAAAAAAAAATTGTGTTTAATATTTTGTTGAATGCTTTGAATTTAATATTGTATTTGATGTGATGAACTGTTAATGTTTTACAGAAGGTCAAAAAGTTTTTGAAAAGTTAGTGTTGTACTACTGTTACTATTTAAAGAAAAGTTTCAAGTTTATGAAAACAAATTTCAGTTTTCCCCAAATAATGAATAAATTTCAGTAGTTTTTATTTATTTATTTTATATTTCATACTCCCTCCGTCCCGAATTGAATTGCAAACTTTGACCGGCACACGGATTAAGGAATGACAATAAATGATGCTTGCTTTTTACACTTTTGTCCTTCATCCTAAAAGTAGATGCTTTTAAGTTGATAGAGAAAGAGTAAAAGTAAGGGTAGATTTGTCACTTTACTCTTATTTGCATACCTAAAATAGAAAGTGGAAAATCATTTTGGGACAACCAAAATAGGAAATTTTGCAAAACAAAATGGGACGGAGGGAGTATTTTTTTTCGGTGAATTCAATTTATGCTGAAATTATTGTGTTGTCTTATGGTTATGGTCTTATGGATTATGTTATTTATATGATTACATATTTTATTACTTGATTTACTTCCTTAGTAGTGTTGGCTATAAGTGTTACATGTAGGCCTTTTAGTATGTAAAACATATTATAAATTAGTAGTGTATATGTCGACTTATCGCCGCGACTCCGCCACGACGGGCGCCATATCGCCATGGCGGTATGGTAGTCCAAAGGCGCCGCGCCGCAAAACCCCGCCGTAACAACTATGGTGTAGTGTATTAGATAAGAATTAGAGCTGATAGAATGCTGATAGACTTCATTAATTATTAGATAAGCACGTGGATAGAAAGATCTTATTTTTTAGGATCTGAATAGCAAAGTTGTTATCTGTACTCTGTATATATACTACTACCGGTTGGCTCATTAATATTCAAGGAAGTTTTATTCCTAAAACCTACAGTTGTACTTTTCAAAATTAATTCATTAATTTCATTCTCCCCTTCATTTTCTGTTTACTCTATTTTAAGTGGAGTAGGGAAAAAAAAGAGAAAATGTCTATAACAACCGAACTGATACGAAAGATATTTGACTGAGGATTAGATTTTCATCATGCTGTTTGTGTTCACTCATCAATGCAAGGATCTCACGGATAGAGAATTGTCATCCCTCCACCCGGTTCTCAATTCATTTGAAACAGATCTGGCATAGCAACCTATCTTTCAGCGATTGGTTAAGGGAGCATGCTGGAAAATCTCATTTGGACAAGTTAAAATGGACATACTATCACATCAACAAGAGTCCATGGTGAGCATTCTCTCAAACGTTCATTTATGTCTTGGGATATCTCTCTTCCTTGAGCCTTAGCTATGTTTGGAACCCATAAAATTGTTGAGAAAGGAAAAAACGGAAGTAAAATATTTGGTACCCATGTTTGGTTTTACACTTGTACTTTAGAAAATTGTAGGAAAATCAAATATATTTAAATTAACCTTTTGTCCGTATTTGATTATAACCTTTTCATACTTTACATATATTTAGATTTCTTAGTTTTAATGTAAAGTATGAATATATACAGAAAACTGAACACATAATTAAAATCGATTTACTGAGTTGAACCAATTTTAGCATTTCCCCAACTTTTTTTTCCTTCATATTTTCCCACTAATTTCCTCCTAATTTTGTTTCCATAGTATTGTCAGGTTCCAATTGGAGCCTTGGTGAATGGTTTCTTGGTAAACGCAAATTTATTTGTAGTGTATCGTTGATACTTTAACATAAGAAATAATTACAGACTTATGACTAAGATTAAGGTTGTTTACAAAAATGTGACCTCTTAAGTGTAGTGACTATAATAGTAAGTAGTAACTTCTTAGGTTCAAATTTTTAGTCATATTTTTGTAAATAAGCTTTATTTCAGTATTTTTTTGGGGAAAAAACTCTTAACATAAATCAACATGAATGAAAGATAATATTTGAGGTTTCCATACAATTGGGTAAACAAGTGTTCATGCATGAAGTATTTGGAGAAATGCTACAAGGAAAATGTTTTCTCAAACCAGTAAAAGAAGGGAACAAATGTAAAACAGAGAAGCAAAACCAGAAAAGTGAAATTTAGCCAAGATCCTCCTTGGCTATTACGCTTAGACTACTTGCATCCCTGCGCCGTCAATAAATTAAAATTCAACTCCGTCAATATGAAAACGGCGACATCTCTCCGTCAATACAGTTTTTCTTTGCATTTCAGTACCGTCAATAAAATTCACTTTACATTATCGGGCTTATAAACATTACCTAATTATTATAAGCATTGTTTTTCTTTGATTTTATTTTCTGAATAATTATAAACTTTAAAAATGAACATTTCAATGTAAAAAATTAAGAGTTGGTTAAATTATTATTTTTTACTTATTTCAATTTAAGATAAAGGAAAAATGAAATATATTATTTGAACTGTTGGATTTCAGATTGGGCTTTCGGATAAATTTTCCCGTTCAAACGCATCCCAGCCATTTGATTTACCCAAAATTTTGAATATAAGTTGCTGGTGTGGGATGATGGCATGCTGACGTCACATGCACGTTTAAATTTCTTTGCACACGGCTGATAAGCAGTGGGCCCTGCTCCTGTGCATGTCTGCTGCACCTATTTTTTCCTCCGCTTTCTTCCGTTTTGGCCTAGCGTGGGAGTCGATCGTGAGAGCTTATACCAACTCCCCCCTTCCACTATCACCCCCCCTCACAATTAGGGATGTCAAAAAAAAACCGCCCCGCAATGACCCGCCCTGACCTGAGACATTTGGGGCGGGTCCGCCCCGCCCCGTCTTGCAAATGGGGCGGGTCCGCCCCGCCCCGAGACATTTGGGGCGGGTCCGCCCCGTCTTGCAAATGGGGCGGGTCCGCCCCGCCCCGTCTATACAATGGGGCGGGTCCGGGTATTAGTATTGACCCGACCCAACCCGACCTGCTCAATATATAACTATACATATTTTTTCTTAAATTATACTACAAATATACATCAACATACATACATACATATATATATATATATATATATATATATATATATATATATATATATATATATATATATATATATATATATATATATATAGGGCTGTTCCTGTACATATGGATGCACGGGAGGCTCCGTACGGACAAAGCCATTAGAGGCCCTTCCCGGTGGAATTTTTTGATGAATTTTTTTAGCATGTTCTTCATTAAGTCTAGTTTATCCATACCAAATTTCAGCTCAAAATTCAATCGGGAAGGCAATCAAACAAATTCTTGAAATATACTGCACATTATATGTGCGCAGAGCCGCAGAATGCTCCATACATTTCAAGAATTTATTTGACTGCCTTCCCGGTCGAATTTTGAGCTGAAATTTGGTATGGATAAACTAGACTTGATGAAGAACATGCTCAAAAAATTTCATCAAAAAATTCCACCGGGAAGGGCCTCTGATGGCTTTGTCCGTACGGAGCCTCCCATACATCCATATGTACATGATCATTCCTCTCTCTCTCTCTCTATATATATATATATATATATATATATATAGGGGTGAGATCACATACTAACCATTCCTCCCATGCTAACCTACAAACTATCAAAAACGGTGCATCTTTACATTATTTGTACTGCATATTGAAGTTCAAAGTGTTGCATATTATTTGTACTGCATATTAAAGTTCAAAGTTTTGCATATTGTTTTTATTGCATATTGAAATTCACAGTGTGCATCTTAACATTATTTGTATTGCATATTGAAGTTCAATGTGTTGCATATTATTGAGTTAGTAAGTTAGTATTTTAAGCATGGTTAGTATGTGATCTCTTATCTATATATATATATATATATATATATATATATATATATATATATATTAGAGTGAGATGAACGACGGATTATCAATGTCTTCTTTATATATAGCATTTTAATACATATATTCAATTATTAATATAATTAAATACTCCCTCCGTCCCATTTATATTGTCCCGTTTTACCTTTTCGGGAAGTCCCACTTAAATTGTCCCATACCATATTTGGCAAAGTTTGTGTGACTCTAAATCATTCTTACTTTATCAATTAATATCAACCACACAAACCCACTTTTCTTAATAACTGTGCCACCCTCTTCCGGGACAATATAAATGGGACGGAGGTAGTAGATTAACTATTCAAGTATGAGTAATTTTTCCTTAAATTTCGAAATTTTTAGCGTATCATGAATTTGATTTAATATATTAATTTTTAATTATTATTTAGAGATAAACTTTATGTAGATTCAATAGGTAACAACTTCCCACAAATAAAAATACATACTAGCAAATTAGGTTACGACGAGGCGGACCCGCCCCGCATGGGGCGGGTCATGGGTCAACAAGTTTGGACCCGTGCAGGTCACATGGCGGGGCGGGTCCGGGTCTTGCAGTACCCGCCCCGCCCCGACCCATTGTAACAAATTAGGAGTCAAAATTACCATCTAAAACACTTTTGACTTCTAATTCCTTTGCCAATAAAGATGGTCTAAGTGACAACTTTCTATTAATCTTTATTCTTCCATTTTGATCCAAGCCATGTATTACCGTATTGGTACCTAATTTTTAAAATATAATCTAACATAGGCCATCTCATTCAACCTTTTAATTTAGCATGTATTTTATTTTTTGAAAGAGTTCCTTGTATACTTTATCTGCTCTTATTTGTGTGTCTTCATTGACCAAATTTATATTTTTCATTTTTATTTGTCTTTAAAAGAAATCTCTGCACATTAAGCATATATTTCCCCCACTAATAAAAATAACAATTTGTAGGTCCTGTTTGGATGAAAATGAGGCATTTTTGACAACTGCAGACTCAGCTATCAAGCTAATTCCTGAGGCTACGAAGCCTGTGACCGGGTGGATAGGTCTTGAGTATAGACTAGCATTTCCTGTTATAAAACCACCTGGTGCCAATTTTTATCCATCAGATATGGACAAAATGGTATGTATAGGAAATGAGTTTTTTGCTGCCTGCAAAAATTTAATTTGACTAGATATTTTTGCAAGACATTACTCAGTGGGGAAGGGTTTTCTTTCTTGTTTAATTAAATACCCACTCTAGCTTTTATTTTAAAGTGTTCTTTTTATGATTAGGAATTTTCATTGTGGATAGACAGTCTCCCTGAGGATAAAAAAAAGGAAGCAACGGGATTCTTTAATGTGATCAAAAGGCACAGTGAATCTGAAATCATGGACATACCAAAATCTCGAAATGCCTCAACCTCTTTTCATGACCTATATATCGTTCCTTATTGGCAAGAATACAATTCTTTGCTTGTTGAAGCTGCAAAGTTACTACATGAAGCTGGAAATATTACAAGCTCGCTCAGGTAATTATTGTGCCCAATCCCCTAAAATATTTGAAATGTTTGGGTGATGGAAATCTGATTATACAAATTCGTCTTTCCTCCTTTAGTTTGAGAAGACTTTTACACAGAAAAGCAGACGCCTTCCTTTCCAATGATTACTACGACTCGGATATTGCCTGGATGGAGTTGGTAATCTATTTACTGGACTATTTATTTCCACTAGTTCATATGTGTGGGTGTGTATTAAAAAAAGGTAATGAAAATCCTGCTCCCCATGTGATGATATATAGTAGGGTAGGGATCAACTATTATCAGGTTTTAGGTAACGATGGAAACTATGTTTAGTCTATGGTTAAATCTGTCTTTAAATATGAGATATTGAGTTCGAGGGTCGGGTTATGACTAGGGAAGAAGCAATGAAACGATTCACCTTCGGCGATGCAATTCGGAAGAGAATATCACAATATTAGACTCTTTCTCTAGGTAAACCAACATATGTAATTGAAATAACATTTTAAAATTACAATTAATATTTTTGATGCTTCATGGTGTAATACTTGCTGCCAAAATATATAGTATCAGTTTATAACTCGAAAAACATTAGAAGAAAATGGAAAGAAATTTTTGGAGAAAATAAAAGATAAGCTCAAACTAAACCAAATTTTAGGATATGCATGAGACTTGTATTAGAAGTGTTCGAACTAGTGTAGGGAGGATTGCAGAGTTTTATATTACTGTCAGAGTGCACCAAGGAGATATACCGTGGTGCATAATGTTCACCGATAATATTGTATTGATTGATGAGACATAATCGAGTGTTAAATGTGAAACTGGAAGTATGGCAACAAAAATTGGAGATCAAGGGTTTCAAACTAGTTGAAGTAAGACTGAATATATGAAGTGCAAGTTTAATGGAGGTAGTAGTGATAGCAGTGGGATTACCCTCAATGGCAAGGAGATACCGGTCTGTGGTGTGTTCTGTTCATGGTTGTCAACGGCGAGAAATGACACATGCGCCATGTGACTAGGGTTGTAAACAAACTGAATCGAGTCGAATAATGTGATTTTGTATTTGTATTTGTTTATTTTTTTCAAATCTGAATCCGAATATGATTCGAATATTATTTTCGATTTGTATTCGTATTTGTTTAACAATACGAATAGATAACGAATCATATACGAATATCGAATCGATTTGATCATAAGTTAAATATTAATCAAATATCACTTTAAAACATCTTTTGATATATTTCTTATGTTAAAAATGCATGTTATGACTTAATATGTGTTTTTAGAATTTAATTTGTAACATTACATTTTTCTTTAAAATTTAATGGATCGATGCATTTTTAGGTTGTGCGCAATATATTCAAGTGAATCAATTTTATGATTACTATACATAAATATATTTCAAAGTTTTTTAAATAAACACTGATACACACATATTAAAAATTATACCTATAATGTGTGAAATAAGTTGATAATTGTATATATCAAAGTGAATCGACTCTAATTTTATGTTAGATATTTAGCATTGTTGATAATAAAAAAACATCATTAGATATATAGTTTATACTACACATATAGTGGGTAGTTGATGCACACAAAAATACTAGATAGTTGATTTTGTTTATGTATAAATGAATATATATATATATTTCATTATTATTCGAATCAAATACATAATTATTTGTATTCATATTTCAAAGATGTTTGAACCAAACATTTGATTTGTATTCGTATTTATATTCTATATTTTTCAAATTTAAATCATAATTTATGAATCCAAATCACAGATCAAATTAAAATTATTTGTTTCGTTTACAACCCTTACTCCTTATGATACTTCTGATTTATTACAAATTGGCTTGGAATGTGTATACATAAATGTATATATGGGCTACACTTTGAGGGTATAGCTAGCTTTTAAAAGTTATTATAGTCTTATTACTACTATTACTATTATTAATCGAATATATTTTTTGATTAACATTCGAATCGAATATACTAATATTTGCATTTGTATTTGATAACAATTCAAATCAAATTTAGTATTCTTATTTGTATTTGAATTTTCGAATTCAAATCGTCTTATACGAATTCGAGTCCCGAATCGAGTATAAATTATTTGATTTGTATACAATCCTACATGCGACATATGGCGACAAAACCCTCCATCACCATGAAAGGTCCTCTCGGCGATGACCATACACATAGCAGCGCCATATCAACTTATGACCACCAGTAGATATCACACCACGTACTTATCTCACACACAACCAGACATTGCTTTCTTAGTCAGTGTGGTGAGTCAATTTATGAATGATCCTACTGAGTAGCACCTCAATGCAGTCTATAGAATTCTGAGGTACTTGAAAATGACCGTTTGACTTGTCTATGGCAGAGAACCACCCAAGCTTCTGTGTTATACCCCAGGAATCGCCAAAGTGTACAGCATTGACCGTGAGCTCCTTGACCGCGATGCCATCCTCGTTGCTGCCAAAGACCGTTTGACCCAAGCTCAACAGAAAATGAAGCTACAGTATGATAGAGGTCATCATGAGGTAACATTTGCTCTTGGAGGTTGGGTTTGGCTACGCACTCACCCTTACAGGCAACTCACAGTTAGCCGTGGTCACTACAAACTTTTTCCAAAGTTCTTTGGGCCTTTTCAAGTTTCAGAAGCTATTGGGCTCGCATTGCAGCGGATGCAGCCTACCGCCTCACCTTGCCATCGGGTACCCACATTCATAATGTGTTTCACGTCTCCCTTTTGAAGCCTCACTCAGGTCCAACACCAGCACAAATGGGTGCTGCCAGTCTGCCACCTCTCGCTGCTTCTTCTGGCTCATCTGCTCATCCCTTAGCTGTTTTGCTGGTTCGCCACAGCAATGGTCAGTATGAGTTCTTGGTACATTGGGCGTGTAAACTGGAAGCTGAGGCAGTCTGGGAGAATTATGCTATATTTCGGGAGACCTTTCCGGATTTCAAGCTTGAGGACAAGCTTGTTGCTAACGAAGGGAGTAATGATACATGACATTTTGGTTGTGTGTACCAGAGACGCATAAAAGGGGCCTAGTTAATTAATTGTCCACAAGTTGTCCTAATTATTTCCCTTTAGTTATTGTAGTTGTTTCCTTTGTATTCTGCCTTTCTGTACTTGTTTCCATTTATTTAGCCTTCCTTATTTTAGGCAGTCTCTTACTTATTAATGAGTCTGTAATATTGTTTAGGAAACTTGTTGTTGCCTATTTAAGGCCTATCAGTTTGAATAAAATATTAAGTTTGGATTAATTAATCTTGATTTGCTGGTGGAGCTAGGGATCACCTTCCTTGCCCAGGGTAGGAAGTTAGTTTTTTTTTTATATTCGAACGTCATAGCTTGAGATCCCGTCTTTGGACAAGATCCTGTACCAAGGCCCTTAACACAAAGGATGATGAGGGGGTGGATACAAGATTAGTTTCGTTCATTTTCAACACCTGCAATAAATTTGTAATGCACTTGTGTTGATCAAGAAAGAGTCAGTTGGTGTAGGTGTGAGTCGTGTGACCAGTCATGTAAGGATCCTTAATAGAATTTTTTTGTGCTAGCAAGTCAATAGTCCTTTGAATTATCGCAGGAGTAGACTCACTGACAATGATATCATCCACATACACCAGCACATAGATGTAGGCATGATGAGAAGAAAATATGAAGAGACAAGAATCAGAAATTGAATCCATGATGTTGTTTCATCTAAACTTCCTCTTGGAGATTCCCATGGAGGAATGCATTATTGACATCCAGTTGATTGATCGGTTAACCATGGGAAAAGGTAATGGTCAGGACAACCCAAATAGTGTCTGATTTAATAACCGGGCTAAAATTGTCGGAGTAATCAACTCCTGGGTGCTGATGAAAACCCTTAGCCACCAATCGAGCATTGAAATGATTCAGAGAACCATCTGGCTTATATTCCACCATGTATACCCATTTGCAACCGGCAACATTCTGATTAGGATGAGCAGGGACAAGTTCCCAAGTTCCTTGTTGAACCAATGCATCAAATTCCACAAACAAAAGGCGAAGCCGTGGGTTTGATTTGTTCTTCTCTCTTTGTATCTACCTGTAAAGCCTTAGAAGCGCAAGTAGGAATACTATGATGAGGTAATGGTGATTGAGTGACAATATTGGCTTGTTTGCGAGGGCAAAGGGTCATCGAATGGGTACATTTGGGTGGATAAGTATTTGAATCATGATGTTGGTGTGAGGAGAACATGGGAGCATTGGTAGTGGTGGTTGGGGAAGTGGTAGTAGGTTCATTAGGTGATGGTTGGGTAGGGGAAGGGGCAGGTGGTTTTTGTTTAGGTCGGCAGTGATATGTGATGAGAGCTCGTGGATTGGGCATGGGTTTAGTGGTAGTATTGCTCTGAGGATATAGAGCAGAGGGGGTAAAACCAGATATACCAGGAGATTCTTGTTGAGCTGGGATATGAGTTACCGGGGATGTCTTGCTACCGGTGTATCTGACATAGGAATATAAGAAATGGGTGGCTGAAGCCAGTAATCAATCTCAAAGGATAGATTTGTAATTGAAGACGATAAATATTGTAACTGAAATCCTAGAATTTAGATTCTTCTTTACATAATACCCTTAAGAATTCAAATGGAAGATTGCCTCATGCTGTACATAATCTTATTGTATAGATCCGCATGACCTGACCGTGTATTAATACTTAGGTTAAAAGTTAAAACTGTTGAATGGAGTGCTTTGGAGTCACTCCACTCCTCACTCCCAAAAAATGATCCCATCTGATCTTTTCCCCTATGCTTCATCTGATCCCACAGTCCCCTTCTAGATGTTAGGCCCCAGCTAGCAACCCGACGAGCATGATTTAGAACTTTTAGCCATGACATGAACTATGTCCGCGGGAAGTTAATAATTAATTGATAGGCATCTTGATCTTTGTTGGCTTTCATTGTGACCTGAAAGTTTTTATCATCCTTTTCACCATATGTAGGACTCAAAGTTGGATGTAACTATTGGCCCATATGAAACCTATGAGGATTCAATTTTTGGATATAAGGTATCTTGCTGTCATAACCTACATGTGCAACCTTGGTTTTATCTATATACAATAATGTTTCTATCACTGAAAATGATTCCTTCTCTTGGTTCCAATTACGAACTATGTTAATCTGTTGATAGAAATCTTGTTTTTTGTGTGCACTGTTTAACAAACAACAAATACTTTGCTTAACATTTTCTCCTTAGGCTACGTTTGAGGCATTTATTGGTGTCCGAGATGACAAAGCAACAGCTCAAGTAAAGCTGTTTGGTGACCATTTGCAGGTGCAGTTTAGATTTATCCAAACACATTCCTTAATTTGATGCCATTTTTATTAGTTTAGCTGAATAGTGATGGCAATGTCGATCTAGGTTTTGGAAAAGAACCTTCCAATGGATAATGTTTATAAGTCGAAAGATGTGACATGTGCTCCTATTCGGGTAATCCAGCTTCTCTACAATTCAGGGGTGAGTATTAGATTAAGAGCCCGTTTGGTAAGATTGACTTGGTTGAACTCGCTGAAAGTGGCTGATATTGATGCAGATGCTAAAACTTCTTATTTGTGAATATATGCTGGAATTACATTATATTGATAAGAAAAAATAAAAGAGGAAAAAGAGACAAAAAGTAACTCCAGACCTTACTTTATTTCATTATTAACCACTTCAAAGGAAATGAGACTGATAAGACTAGTGTTTGGTAAAACATGCGACTGCTAAGATTATTAAGCCTAACAAAAGTGGCTACCAAGCTGCCACAAGTTTAAACAGCAGTTATAATTCGGTTAGGTCAAAATATGGAGAAAAGAGACCTTTATAACTCAGTTGTTCCATTGTTTGGTAGGATGTAAAGGGCCCACAAACAGTTGCGTTCAATCTTCCAAATGATGAGAGGATTGTGAAAGATAGAGGAACATCTATGGTCCTGCTTAAGAATGTTTCAGAGGCAAAGTAAAAGTCTCTCTCTCTCTAACTCTCTCTCTCTCTCTCCCCCGTTTAATGGTCCATTTTTTCCCTTAATCAATGCTTAGGTTTAAGCTCATTCTCCAGCCTATAGCTGATGCGTGTGTCAGCAAGGAACTTAGGAAGCTTGTGGATTTTGAATCTTTCTTTACTCACACAATATGCCACGAGTGCTGCCATGGCATTGGACCTCATACCATCAAACTCCCAAATGGGAAGACCTCCACAGTAAGATTGGTGAGTTTTAACTTGATTTATTATTTATTTGTTTTTAAATTGATATCGCCTACATCCTGCCTAATCCTGCCCAGACGCCTAGGAGTTAAGTCCCATTTAGCTACAACCTATCGTGTAGCTTTTTTTAGAACTCATAATGATGTTTGATGAGTCTTATTAGTTATTAGGTTAGTGTTCTAATGATACTTTGTTATCTCTTCTTTTGTTCTCTATCGTAGGAGCTGCAAGAGCTCCATTCATCAATGGAAGAAGCTAAAGCTGATATTGTGGGACTTTGGTCCCTAAAGTTCCTAATTGATGAGGTAATGAATGAGACACAACCCAAAAACTCATATTTTCTAGCAAACACTGACTTAACAGCATTCACTGAATCTGCTTAAGAAAAAATACTCCACAGGGAGTTATTTTTTTATGTTGAAATGATCGAAATGAAGATATATGACAAGATTGTTTAGTTGGATGGAACAGTGAATTTCATATGCCATTCCCTTCTTATGATATAAACTTAACAACGCAGCAGAAAACATGGTAGTATATTTGTGAAATATAAGATTATATTCATTATACTTCATAATGAATTGCTATACAAGTAGCTCTATTTATAGCAATATTAGAGCATTAGGGTTTCTATACATAAATGGGCTAAGCCCAATACAACTAGGGTTTTCACACTCCCCCTCAAGTTGGAGCATATAAATCATACGCACCAAGCTTGTTACAAATATACTCTACTCTAGGACCTCTAAGAGACTTAGTTAAAACATCTGCAAGTTGATCAGTTGTGCTGATATATTTTGTGAAAATATGTCCAACTAATATCTTTTCTCGAATAAAGTGGCAATCAACTTCAATGTGTTTAGTCCTCTCATGATATACCGGATTTGATGCAATGTGCATTGCTGTTTGATTGTCACCCAATAATTGAACTGATTTTGTGCTCCCATATTTTAGTTATTGGAGTAGATGCTTCAACCACAAGATTTCGCATGTGGCAAGGGCCATCGCACAGTATTCTGCTTCAGCACTGGATCTGGCAAACACATCTTGTTTCTTACTCTTCCAAGAAATTAGATTTCCACCGATCAAGATGCAATATACTAAAGTAGAACGTCTATCCGTCGGACATCCTGCCCAATCTGTATCACAGTATCCCACAATATATCACGATGACCTCGGTCTTCGAATAGCAACCCTTGTCCTGGTGTTTTCTTGATGTATCTCAAGACTCGAGTAGCTGCATCCCAATGACCATTACAAGGCTGGTGGGAAAGCTAATCTACTTATCTCACACATGGCAAGACATTGCTTTCTCAGCAAGTGTGGTAAGTCAATTCATGAATGACCCAACTGAGGAACATCTAACTGCAGTCTATAGAATTCTGAGGTACCTGAAAAGGAAAAGGGTTGTTGTTTCAAAAACTTGGGACAAGGAAGATTGAAGTGTTTACTGATGCTGACTGGGTTGGAAGCCTTTTAGACAGAAGGTCAACTACTGATTACCATACTTATGTATGGGGTAACTTAGTCACCTGGAGGAGCAAGAAACAATAAGTGGTTTCGAGAAGTAGTGCAAAGTCAGGGCTTTAGCACAAGGAATCTGTGGATTATGGTGATAGAATTGATCAATTCTATAACAATTCACAAAGAAAGATCAAGAAAGCAATCTGCAGTTTTGTTATTAAGAGAGAGAACATGAACAATTACAAAGGCCGTAGCCCCCAAAAGATAGAGTCAACACTCTGATCTTCCCAGCCAAGACTCAATAGTCCAAACAGCCTGGCCTTCCCTTCCCAGCTTTATTCTATTTATAAGATTCTCAACTAACAGAAAGTAGTTAATAGCTATAACCGTACTAACTATCAACTATTTATTCTATTCCTCCTAGCATACACCCGGTCAAAGTATTTATTCTTTTCAGCTGCATCCTATGAATACCCCCCCTCTGAACATCCAACTTGTCCTCAAGTTGGAACTCTGGGAATTGTTCTTTGATTACTTGTTCCTGCTCCCACGAATCTTCAAATTCAGGTAGGTCTTTCCAATGCACCAGAACTTCTTTCTCACCAGCCCTATTGAATCTGACATCTTTTACTTCTTCAGGATTAACCTTCAATTCACCCTCTTCTGTCAAGCATTTAGGGAGATCCTGATAAGTAGTAGTAGGTGTCAGCACCTTCTTTAATAAAGATACATGAAAAACCGGATGTGTCTGACTCCCATCAGGTAATTTGAGTTTGAAAGCCACGGGGTTGATCTTCTCTATTATCTCATAGGGGCCATAGAATCTGGGACTCATCTTTTGATTGATTCTCTTGGCTAAGCTTCTCATCTTATAGGGCTGTACCTTCAGAAACACCATGTCACCAATTTCCAGTTTGATTTCCCTTCTGTGTTTGTCAGCCTGCTGCTTCATTTGATTTTGAGCTTTAGCTAAATGATCCCTTAGCTCTTTAAGTATCTCATTCCTTTCCGCAGTCAATCTGGATACTTCAGCTACTGTATCTAGCTACTGAACTCATAGTGACATCACCTCTGACAACAATAGGAGGTGGTTGTCCAAATAAAGCTTGGTATGGTGTGTTGTTTATGGATATATGGTAATTGGTATTATACCAAAATTCTGCCCAAGGTAACCATCTTACCCAATGTTTAGATTTTCTGCCAGTCATACACCTCAAATAGGTCTCCAAGCATCTGTTTACCACCTCCGTTTGCCCATCACTTTGGGGATGGTAGGCAGTGCTATACTTCAATTGTGTACCAGCTGATTTCAATAATTCAGACCAAAAAACACTCAGAAAAAGGCTCTCTGTCGCTAACAATGGATTTAGGAAATCCATGTATCTTCACCACTTCCTGTATGAATTGTTGATAAAACGAAGAGACATCTTTAATTTAAGATTTTATTACTGTAATTATGAGTCTTTAGTGTTTCAGGTTGTAATTAATAGCTGTTGTCTTTTCAGTTCATAATCATTTATGTTTAGTATTCAGACAGTCACCTGGGGTACTGAATAGACTCTCTCAGGCTCCTATCTGTATAAATAGCTTATGTACTTCTTGTAAATGATTCATTGAAGAAGAAGAATATACAGAAAACTTCATGGTATCAGAGAACGATCTCGTACCAGCCTCTTTACTCTTAATCATCTTTCCAACAGTCTACTAGGGTGTCTCTACCCGCCTCTCTGTTTATCCTCGGGTGCGAATCTCTTCACCAACGGTTCTATCATGTCTAAGGAAACTGAATCAACCTCAAGTAACCTCGACCACTCAACCATCGTTTCAGCTGCTACTGCAGCCGCGTTTGCTCTTCGAAACCAGAAATTTGATTTCCCTTCTATCCCGCCATCTTACCGTCTCAATGGCAGGAACTATCTTGGATGGTCAAAGCTGGTTTATACTCTCTTGCGTGGCAAAGATCTTGAAGACTATCTCACTGTCTCTACCCCAGAAGAAGGAGATATTGATGCTGCTATTTGGGAGAAAACTAATGCCAACATACGGGTCTGGTTATGGAACTCTATGGATCCCAACATTAGCAGTACATGTTTATACATGGACTCAGCTAAAGAAATCTGGGATTTCATACAGCAATCCTACTCCGTTGCCAAAGATGGCGCTTTTGTCTATGACTTATGGCTCCAAACAACGAACCTTAAGCAAGATTCACAATCTGTTACAGATTATGCAACTGACCTCCAACGACGATGGTCTGAACTTGACCAGTATCAAACAATGAAGTGGTCGAATGCTGCAGATGCAGCTCTTCACAAGAGCTATATAAATCAGCAACGTCTATATTGCTTCTTGTCTGGTTTAAATCCCGAATATGATCAGACTCGGGGTCAAATTCTTGGCATTACTCCTCTGCCTTCCCTATCTTCTGGCATTGCCACTATCAAACATGAAGAGAGTAGACGCAATATAATGATGAATACAAAGCTGATTGACAGTACAGCTCTTGCTGCCAAATCTACTCCTTCAGATGTCAAGGAAACTAAGGGTAGTAAGGGAGGAAGATGGTGTGATCATTGCAAGCGGTATGGTGGTGATGTAAGGTGCGGTCTGAAAATTTCTAAGGTCGGGGGCAGACTGTATAAGGATGCTAACTGATTTTCTGAAAAATAAGCTCATTGCTAATTGATTTTCCGATTTTGTATGGCTCTGATACCATGTTGAAATATAGAGTATAAATTGGAATAATATTTGAAGAGGGGAGGATTTTTTGTGTGTTTGTTGATGGGCTTAAGTAAGTTTTTATTTGGATTGAAATTTTCTTGTATGGTCTGATTTGGTCTGATTTGTTTAAGTCTAGTCTAGTCTGCTCTCAATTGATTTGTTCTTGTCTGATTTGACTTGGTTTGTTTAAGTCTGGTTTGGGACTGAAACCAGTCCAAGTAAAAACATCCCAAGTCTATAAATATACATTACAATATATAATATTCCTATAAAATTCTATACCATAATAATATCGTAGAGTATATTCCTAAAATATTCCAAAGCATATTCCTACATTTATGTTTATGGTCAAAGTAGGGTATATGAACACTGTAAAAGGCAATATTTTGCAGTTAATTGGAAGGGGAGGAATTATATATGTGTGTGTGTAAATATACTAAAAAAACTTTTAAAGGAAGGATCTTATGTAGCTTTTCTCAATGCGGGACAGGGTTTGCTTCCGAAGAGCCTAGTGAGATCAATGTATGTCTCATTTCTTGCTGGATGCTTCCGTTCAGTTCGCTTTGGGTTAGAGGAAGCTCATGGGTATATTATGGAGCCATTATGTGATCATTATCATAACCGTTTGTGGACTTTACTACTAGTAATTCTGTGATGATTTTGAAATACTACTAGCAGAAAAGGACAAGCGCTTCAGTTCAACTATATGTTTGAGAAAGGTGCGTTTGTTTTACAACATGACGGGGCTACCTTCTCCGTTGACTTTGATAAGGTAAAATATACGTAAGTACTCCTTTACTAATTAGTAGTGCATCTATTGGGGGTTGAAGCAAATTGCTAATTCTACTATGGTGTGGAAGGTTGAGAGTGCTGTTGAAAGCTTGAGTAGGGAAATTCTTACGATACAAGCAAGAGGCGATAAAGATGGTGCAAGAATGCTACTTCAGAAATATGGTGTTATGACTCCACCCTTGCGAAGTGCTCTCGAAAAACTTGAAATGATTCAGGTATGAACATTGAGTGAGCAATTGAGCATAGATTGAGTTTGTAGAAGACCTCTAATTATATACACATAAATATAAACAAATATATGCATATAGATTGCGGTTCAAATAAATGAGAGTTTTGCATGAAAAATGCGAATGAGTGCACTTTTGGATGGATTTGATGCAGATGCACTTTTTGTGGTAGCAGCAGAGCAAAGTTCATTTAACAAAGTTTACATCATTTTTTTTTGTCTAAATGACCGCACAATTAGCATGTTTTAAGCCATTAGATCTCAAATCTAATGCCTCAAGTTTATTCTTACTTTTCATAGGAATGACTTTATTTTATTTGAACCAGTACACACACATAGGGTGCATCATTCCCTATGAAATCCATTTCATAGAAAGTGATGTTCCCTTGAAAAGTGTGAAATCCATTTTTGACCGTATACAGTGCAATCTTGCATTCAAAAGATTTCCGCTTTTCACTTTTGACAGATTTAGGGGTGCAAAAAGCGAAAGCGCATAAAACACAAACAAAAACAAAATTTTAGATAAAACGTTAACAAATAATTTAGTAAATAATTTTAAAAAACTACTTAAATGATTAGTGGAAATAATGATGCTTGATTTTAATAATGAAATATTTGGCAATAAGAAGTAAAATTATTAACAAATCTAATTATTTTCAATTAGGATAAAATTAAAATAGAAAGCACTTTGAAATAAAGCCAAAGAAGCAACTATCCATAATTGAGATAAAAGCTTATATAGATGAATATTGTAGCATATAATATTCTCTCTGTCCTAGTTTAAGGTTCTCACTTTTTGGGGGGCGTCTTAGCTTAAGGTTCTCATTTCTATTTTAGGAAACTATTAACACTCTTAAATGACAATTTAATCATCAAATAATAAAAATAGTACATCTATAACATGACAGTTATCATTAGTGACCACATTATACTCCCTCCGTCCCTTTTTATTTAGCCAAACACCTTTTTTCAAGTCAAAGCTGTTCAACTTTGACCGATTATATATTTATACATGGTAATATTGATAATATGAAAATTATATGAAAATGATCTTTGTTAAAACTACTATCATAAAAGTATAAATTTATTAAGTTTTATATGAATATATTAGTTAAAATAATAGATCAAAGTTTATCACCTTTGACTGTAAAAGTCAAAGATGGCTAAATAAAAAGGGACGGAGGTAGTATTATATATCCATCAAAACTATTTCTCAAAATATACTCGAATTATCTTATTCAATTATTTTATAAATAATTGTGCCATTTTGCAATGAGATCCTTTAGCCGTGACGGAGCTAGTATACGTTATTTATACGAAACAATAATTTCTTTAAACGAGTCTCCTGAAATTAGTTTTATATTTGACTTACTCGATAGCAGAATAAATTTCACTTTTGGTCCTATGAGCATTGCACCGATTCCACAATTGGTCCACGTCTTTGATTTTGACATTTTTTGATACATGACTATTGTGTTTTCATCCTTACATGGTCCTTCCGGCAATAATTCCGGTGGTTAAACTCGTCAGAGAAGGACAATAAATGGTCAAGAAACATTAGTCAAGTACCAAAAGTGGATCAAGTGATAGACGTGGACTAAATGTGAAAATGACATAAAACTCGTAGGACCAAAAGTGGAATTAATTCCTAGATAGGATGATAAAATCTATGATGCTTGAAATGAATTATTAGTCCAGTCGGTTGAAATGTATGAGTTAAGATAGATTTCTATCTTTGGTCCCATTTTAAAATCCAAAGTATTCTTCATTTTCAATCTTCCTCATGAAAAAAAAAAACAAATGTTGGGGGATGTAGCTCTCGAATCCACCAATCTAGTACACGACAACTTATATCTAGAATTTCAACCAATGAAGCTATGAAAGAAATTTGAGGTGTAGCTAGTGCATACCCTTATTAAAGGGTAGATCTGCCTAGGCATAGATCGACCCTGGTTGGTCTGATCCCGGTTCCAAGTTGAAATCGCCTGGTCCTTGCCAAATTCCCGGACCCGGTTCCGTTAATTTTTATTGCCAAGTTTCAAGGCTGAAACCAAAAAAAAAATTAATATTTTTTTCCCGTCAGGACCAAAACCGGGAATGGGACCGCCTGGTTCGATCTCAAAATAAGTAAACCGGTACCGAGTACCCATCATAGCGGACAGGGTCAGTCCTCGGCCTAAAACTGGAAAAAACAGACTTGGTCGGGGCCCAAACAATACTTGACCCAATTTCGGATCAGGCTGGGCCGCGGGGCCAAGTCCATGCCTAGATTCGCCCCTGCTCCCATCTAGACTTGCACAAAACCGGCCCGGCCCGCCCAACTGCACAAATGGGCGGGCTTGGACATGTACATTTACCTACCGGGCCGGGCCCACAATAACATATGGGCGGGCTTTGGTTAGGGTGTAGGGTCGTTCGGGCCGATAAGCCTGGCCCGCTACATTTAGTGTGTGTGTGTGTGTATATATATATATATATATATATAGATTTTGGTTCAAGTGAGAAATGCATCTAATGTGAGAAATGAGAATGAATCTCAGCCATTAGATTCGCGAAGTTGCACTAAAATGATTTGATGTTGCAGTGATATTTAAATTTTGCACATGTTGCACTAAAACTGTTTCATGTTGCACTAATATTTGACGACGTTGCACCGAAATAGTTTCATGTTGCACTAGACACGTCTAATACGGATTTTCAGAAGTATTTACAGAAATGTCACCGTGCTAGATTGCATATTTCAGTGCATCATCAAGTGTCTTTTATTGCAACTTAGTCGAATCCAATGGCTGAGATTCATTCTCATTTCTCACCTAAAGGGTTCTTCTCACTTGAACCTTACCCTATATATATATATATATATATATATATATATATATATATATATATATATATATATATATATATATATATACTAATTTATCTATTTGTTTATATGTACACATGTATATTTATATTTACCAATTTATCTTTATACATATTTATAGTTTATTACGTTTAAATTTTAGTTTTTAGTTTTTAACAACTAGCCCAACTAATATAGTATCTATTTTTGTACTTAAAGATAATACTTTGTGCTTGAGTTTTAAATTTCAGATATAGTTTCTCATTATTATTTTTGTGTAAGTATTATTTTTGTATGTGGTGAAATGCCTATAAACATTATAAGCGTATTCATAATTTTCTAAATTTTTTAATATTATCTTTAAAGTATTTAAAATATTATATAAATTTGAAAAATGTAAAGTTTTTCTTGGCCGGGCGGCCCGGTGGAATACCCGGCCCGCTCTTACGGGCGGGTATGGACATGGAGTTAGGCCCACACATAATGGGCAAAAAATTATAAAAAGCCCAGCCCGAGCCCGACCCGAGTCCGAACCCGTTTTTGTGCAGGTCTACTCCCATCCTATGGCAGAGTCAGAAATGTTTGAAGTTTTTATGGTTTATAAAATACACCATGATCTTTTCGACGAAGGGGGACAGTATCGCGGGGGCGATGGGCTGGGAGGGGGCCGGTGTGGTGTGGTGTAGGGAGTTGGTGGGGGCATTTTAGTAGGGGATATCTCCTCTTTATATCCTCTTCCTCCCTCTATCTCTTTCCACTTTTCTTCTTTTCATTCATACCACCTCATATGGTTTTCTCTTTTGCTACCCAAACGACAACTCGACAAGGGAGGCTTGGCTTACCAATTACGATATTGTGTGACATGTACAAGTTTAAGTCTTGTGACTAGTTTCTTTTCAAAAATTTATTAGGGAATCCTTGCTCCCTATACACTCATTGTGGGACCCTTCTCCAACCCTCACATTGCGGAGAGTGAAACTCTTCTCCAATCCTTATCTTGTAGGGGTGCCAAAGTACACCAAATTGCTCTTTAGTCTCCAAATGAAATGGCTCTCACTAGTACTAGTGGATGAGAGCCGTGCTCATTTTCCTAGGTCTAAATGAAAGGAGGGTGATGGAGTGACTTGCTGCATGGTAGATGAATACAGACAATGACAGAGGGAAAAACGTATACACTCTCAGTTTTAATGAGAAATTGTCCTGAATAGGACTAAAACATGGGTAAAGTTCCTAAATAGGAATTCATACTTTATATTCCCTAAATAGGGCAGTCCGGTGGTGCCCGCATCAGTCCGGTAGTAGTCATAGTACGGCAAACGGTTGCGGGGTTTAGGCGACCAAGCTTGAACCTCAGCAAGGGTTTTGTCCAATCACAAATTATTACTCCTATTTACTTATTTAGAGATTTTGAACTTTGACTCCTATTTTTACACTTTGGGTATGTTTTAGTAATTTTAATTTTTTTTCCGACCGAAAGGACGGAATGTGGTTTGCAGATAGATCTATTTTGTCCCTTTTTATTGTTATTTTATCATCATTTATAGGATTGTTTCCTTGGCATATTTCTTCTACTTTTGCTCCTTGTTTTTCTGTAGGTTCCCGTGGACATAGTTCCTGACTTTCCCATTGCTGACCAAATCGTATGTGATTTCCATTGAGCACTTGAAGACTTGAAAACGAAAGGAAGCAGCTCTTGTTTTTGGACACTTGTGACTTGTGGCCAGTGAAGAGATATAACCTTTTAACTACAAAAATGATGTTTGTACCCACTCTTATACCCACTTTTATAACCCACCCATGTTTGTGAAGGCCTTTTATTGTCTGTGAGTTCCGTTCACAGATAGTATTTTGTTTGTGCAAAATTTGCATAGACAAAATAACACATATTTTGTCTCTGAACCGGATTCACAAACAAAAAAAAATCTTCACAAACATGGTGGGTATAAGGTGGGTATGAGGGTGGATACATCAAGCATTGTTTTAACTATTTACCTTTATCTTTTGCAATAAAAATAAGCTAAAAAGTTTGAATAGACCATTTTACCATTTCAAATCCATTAAAGAATATCATATAAACATACTTACTTTGGAAACACAATCATTCTGTCGTCTTGAATTGCTATAACATGTCATTTTTAAAAAAAATAAATTAAGAAAGTTGATGAATTTTACAAAAAGTCATAAATTTTAAAAATACAGAAATAGAAATAAAATAATAAAAATGCCAAAATAGATAGGCAACTTTACAACTTTAAAATAAAAATGTTTGAGCTTGTCCTCCAGAACTATCTTCATGCCAAAGAAGAGTTTTGTGGGAATACTTTCAATTTTAGTTTTGCTTTAGTCATATTGGTTTTTATTTTAGTTTGAGTGTGTTTGGTTTGGACTTCGTGATTTGTGGAGTATTTTTGGTAGGTAGTGTTTTAGTTACGATTGTTTTAGGCTTAAAATTGCTCGTTTCATGTCCAGTGAATCCGGTTACTTTGTATGAATTAGACTGATTTTATGTCTATTCCTAGGCATACGATTGGATCTATTATAATTGTATGGAGGTTATCTTGTATGAGTTCTTGATATTGTTATAAAAAGCCGCTCTTTTATACTCCTTCCATTCTTTATTAACTGTCCTTTAGGCTTGGGCACGTGCTTTAAGAGAAAAATAGTCATAGTATAGAGTGTGTAGGGTAAATGATAACGTAAGAAAGAGAGTATATTAATAAGAGTAAAATGGTGATAAAGTAGGAAAGAGAGTATTAAGAAGAGTAAATTGATGATAAAGTATGAAAGAGAAAGTAGTATGTAAAAAGTAAAAGGGGTAAAAATAATAATGTGGGGTATTTAGCTCAAAAAGTTTCTTAAAATGGAAAAGATAAATAATAAAAAACAGATCAAAATAAAATAAGTGACGGTGACTAAAGAACAGAGGGATTAAAAAAAAACTTTAAAATAAATGAGCCCGGGAAAGTCAAAAGAAATGAAAAAATGAAAATATAAAATTAAAATGTAAAAACATTTAAAAAGATGTAGAAAGTACAAATTATTTAAAAACACATAAAATACAGATTTTGACATTCTTTTTTCCATGAATATTATTTAATTAAATTCAAAAGATAAAAATACGGGTTGTTTTATACTGCCTCCGTCCCGCTAAGATTGTCTCAGGCACTATTCACATGGTCAATACAAATCACTTTTAATCTCTTACTTTATATATCAAACTTTTATCAAATTTGATTCTGGTTTTTGCGACTTTGTAAAGTTTTTAATGTAATTTCTGAATATGTAATTTTTTTTCTAAAAAAAATTTGAGTGCGAACAGGGATCTGTTTACTTTATTTTCAGTCAAACATCGTAAACCGAATTGTCCCAAAATAGTAGAACGGAGGGAGTAATTCTCTAAAAAGTGACATATTACGTGACTAATTCTTAGTGACTCATCATCTATATTGATATTTGTACAACTACTCGTAAACAGTAACTAAACATATATTGTCCAAAAAGCATGAGTAGTCATATTTTTGTCCGGAAAAACTCTTTTAGTAATATATATGTCATTGTTTCTAAAATTTTCGCTATTTTCGAATTTGAACAAGTTTCTTAGATATTTTTTTGTAAAATAACATGCAATAACAGGTAAAAAATCAGTTGATTGGTTGGATTGGTCTACTATTTATAGTAAGTGTACTTGTATGAAACATTCATAGTATATGAGCTAAGTGATGGGTAAGCTATAGTAGAAAAGTTTATTGTTCCTAGAGAATTTTTGTAGTAGCTTACAATTTCAGGGTAGCTTGTTGTTGAGAGGGTTGCAACCTTACCCACGAATAGTTGGCTTTTAGCATATTATAAAAAGACAATTGGAAGCAGAATTGGACTATTTAGGGGTGTTTGGATCTGTTTCTTATAGCTTCTTCTGCTCTTTCAGGTAGCAAAAATAGATATTGGAGTGTTTGGATGAAAGTGTATAGGTATTTTTGGATACTCCAAATTACTCCTAAAAGCTGTTTTTTTTTAAGTTGAGGGAGATCGGTTTCTAAAAAAATGATTTAGATTCTGCTTCTGCTTTTAAAAAAGAAGTAAAAGCAGAATTAGTTTCAAACACCCCTTTAGTTCTGTTCCTATTCTGGCGGAACTAGATCGACTTTGATTGTTTACATATCCACTATGCTCTCACTACAGAATTGGGTGTGCCGGTTATGCCCTAATGTTGACTGACAATTATGACAAAAGAGGCATGTTTAGACTACCGTGGTGACACCTATTTTGAAGGAAAATTTTACCATATACGAAGTATATCTTTTTTAGATTTATTTCATGAAAATGCATTTTATACATATTTTTGTACACACTCTGTCGGTGTTGGGATATTGGACCGATTCATATTGACCGGCCCAAAACCAGTAAGGTCATCCCTCAATATACTCCTAAACGCCAAGGGAGAAACCCAGATGGTTCCCCCATGGGCTAAACAGGTTCAGAAAGACTGCCGAGCCAAGTAGTTGAGCCATGAGTCTACGAGTGTAAAATTAAGGAAGGGACGAATCTTCGAGATCGGGTGTATGGCATACACGAGCTCAGACTGAACACTAGGTATGACTATATCTCGAGCTGACGCTCGAGCCGGGTGAGCAATCTCCTCCATTGTACCATCACCCACTGACATCTAGCTAAATGGTGGGAAACCTGGAAACATACGAGAATTGCATTTAATATGAGGCTTGAGCTTAGCAAGTCGACGAAGTGTGGGAAGCAGTAACCGTTATGACAGAATGGCCCAACCAACAGGGAGTCCACACGTGATCAATTCCATACTGTCGGATTAGTATAAATACCGCCCTCATTTACTATGGTGGGGCTAGCTTAAATTGCTTAAATAGCATTTACTTTGATCTTGTAAACAAATTCAGTACTCCGTAGCAATTAGTAGAGCAGAATAGCCCTAGAAAATCTTCCATATATGATACAAATCACATACATGTTGATCTTGTGTTTAATCTCATATTTTACTGAACTAGCCATTTATATCCCAACATTTGAATCGACTGCCCACCAAAGGTATCTTGTTGGACACTTGGACCTTTGAACTGAGAGAAAAAAACAATGACGTCGTCTGTGGGAAACCGAATGAAAAACTTCTACTTGACGCATTCCCAAAAAAAGGCAACTCTCAATCAAACCTCTACACCATGTTTAGACGTAAAGTACGCAACCAAGAGGATATATCACACAAATTCTCTGTTGGGTGAGAGGCTGAGTGTTAGGATGTAATTCAATATTTTCAAATACTTTGTGAAATTCTAGAGAATTCTAGAACTGTGTGAGATACACGTTCATTTGTACACACTCTCTTATACACTTCAATTATATGCAAGAGTTCTCTTAGCTCATGATCCTGGTAAAAGTCGGCGTGTCGTGTTTCCCCAACACGACTGAGGGATCACTGGACTCAAAAGACTGACTCTCCTGCATATGTTTTACTAATCAAACATGTCATCAGTGCTATTCCCTTGCATCTTCTGGCAGCTGATCATCTCCCAAAAAAGTCATTCATTCAATAAATATAATTGGATTAAATGGTCTAGTTTATGTAGGACAACGAATGAATGGGGTTTGGGAATGAAAGCTTTATCTAGCATTGAAAGTGTCTTTACACTTAAGCTTTGGTGGAAGTGGAAGAATGATAACTCTCTTTGGGCAGTTCTTTTAAGGCCAGGTACCATAGGGGTTCAAATATGAGTCCAAAGGTATATGACTCTCCAATTTGGAGACAAATATGTTCTATACATGGATGATATTGCCTTTTTTCTTTGTGAGGTGAATTCAGATGGAAGTGTAAACTAGGGTGATGGAGTATATGGACTCCGACCCCCCGGTCTGCCAACTATTGGGCTTGGACAGTGGCCCACACACGTTTAGCGGATATCATTCATATTATTGTATATTATTATTATTCAGATGTATCAAATTAGTTTTTCGTACTATCAGTCCATTTATGTAATTGGGTCTGTCGGCCCATATTAGACCCGGATTTCCCTATATATACTCCTTATAGGAGGCTTTGTAAACCGTAACTAATATTCATTCATTCTATACACTTTCATTATTTCTCCTACATTCTTGTTCAATCTCTCTAAATTATAGGATATGGGTATCGATTATCCATCAAATGGTGCTCTCGTTGAGAGGTTTGAACACAATCAAGTAAGAAACCCTCCCAAATTACCCAAAAATCCTTCCCAATCACAAAAAAAAAAACGTTCTGGAAAAATAAAAATGATACAACAAGAACGGATCTGCTATGAAAAATATGGGATTTAACAGATTTGGCATGAGCAACAATCACCCCGCAGCGGCATCCCAGGTCATGTTGCCTAACTTCTGGTCTAGCACCCCTGTCGCCGGCAGGACACTGATGCCACGGATCTCGCCAGCCACCGCAAGCCACCTGCTATAGTTTCAGACTGGGATCTGCAACTTCTAGATCTGGAACAGCTCTTCCGATCTGAACCCAGCAGCGTCAGTCAGCCGGATCCATTACGGTCAACGGAATAACCTTGCCGAAACCGACCAAGAAGGGGAAACAGCTGAAATTCGGAGCCCAGCCCACCACTAGCGGCGACGCCACAGCAGGGCCATGCTCCGCGGCGAACCTGCGACCCAGAGAACCACCCGAAGAATGACAAGTCTGAGTTTCGTCAACTCTGCCACCACACCTGGACCAAATAGCTCTATGGTTGCTCGAGGTCGCGACAGTCTCATAGGGGTCACAGCCTGGCCACATAGCTCTACATCACTCTTCAACCTCATATCCTAGATCTGGCGACCTCGCCCCAGCGCAGCTCCGGTAGCTCAGTTCGGTACTCCGGTCGTGATATGTCAGTCGCCATCACCGCCAAAAGACAGACTCCGACAAACTACCCTTGTCTGTCAGACCTCCGAGGGCCACTTATGTTCATGAGACGTGGTGGAATGTTCCCCTCTCAAGAAAAGGAAGATGTTGACTCAGTCAACATTTGTTCTTTAATGTTCTGCTGGCTCAGCTCCAATTATTGCTCGGCAAGGAAGATTGTCTTTTTTGGTCCAAGAGAGAGCGGGAGGAGCTGAGGAAGGACTAAGGCTGTCAAAAGTCCACTGCATTTATCGGGCCCAAAGCTATTCAGCATGATGAGCCACACCAATGCCAGTTTAATTGTTGGATCAAGCTTTTTTTCAGCACATATGGATCATCTTGTCCAAGCAACATAATTAATATCTGAAAGATAAGTACTCTTTAATTTTCATATTATTTATATTTAGTTAAATCATTCTTTTTGTCGGGTGAATGTCACACGATCACGCACTTATGATCAAATGCCTAGTAGAGTGTGGCTTGAGACCCATCACTATGATTTAAAGTCCTGACCCACATCAGGCACAAAGCCCTGACCAAGATCAGGCACAAAGCTCCGACCAAGTCGGGCACGAAGACCGATCTTAGTCATTCCTTGAGTGACGACACTTGCTTACGAATGGCTCACACATCCATTCTACTAAGTATTTTATCATTACATTGACAATTCACATTTTCACTTGTTTCAAGTAACGAACTCCCGATCAGAAACATAAATCCCAAGAAAAAATTTATATGTATGACAAATGTGTGGGTACAAAGATGACTCTACTCATTTTCATCTCGTCTCAAGGAGTGGGGGACTGAGAGGTCAGAGTTTTCTAGATGAGCAGAAAATATCATGCATGAGCAGGAACGAGAGCTGAGTCGGTTGAAGAGGAGTTGAACTAGATTGATTATGTCGGAGAAGACTTATCTTCCTTGTTTTTTTTTGGAGGCGCTAGGTGTACTCTTTTTCCCTTTATTAGGATTTTTTCCCACTGGGTGTTTTCCTAGTAAAGGTTTTTAACGAGGCACCTCCCTATCATGGACAAGTGTGGTGGTCCCCCGGTCGAAGAGGAAGAAACCAAAGACAGAAAAACGCTGCAGATACAATTGTGGACTACTCCCTTTCGCCTCGAGTACTCTCGGCTCAGGAAGTGGGGGACTCCTGATGGAGTATATGAACTCCGACTCCCCGATCTGCCGACTATTGGGCCTGGACAACGGCCCACACACGTTTAGCGGATATCATTCATATTATTGTACATTATTATTATTATTATTATTATTTAGATGTTCTACACTAATTTTTTGTACTATCAGTCCATTTATGTAACCGGGTCTGTCGACCCATATTAGAGGCCCAGACCCGGATTTCCCTATACATACTCCTTATAGGAGGTTTTGTAAACCATAACCAATATTCATTCATTTTATTCACTTTCATTATTTCTCCTACATTCTTGTTCAATCTTTCTAAATTACAGGATATGGGTATCGATTATCCATCGTAGGGTGTTGAAGAGAATGATAGATTTTCCTTCAAAAGTGCATATGACTCCAGCTTATCTAGCACCTTTTGTTTTAAGCATGATTGGCATAGTAAGAAGAGTATGCAGCTTTTTCGGTGGAAAATTTTAACTATAAGTCATAACCTTACCAGGTTCCATATGGTGTTGAATCCCTCAATCCGTCCACTTTGTCAGGGTCGGGAGGACTCTGTGACTCATTTCTTCTTTGGGAGCCCAAAAGTGAAACCTATTTGATCATATATACTTTATGAAAAATCTTTATGGTTGAAAGCAGGCACAGTGGCATTTTTACACATAATCTTCCCGGTATAATATGCTGTCTACAAAAATGTGACTGAAACTCATTTGAAGAAAAAACCCTTCCGCTGCATCAAAAGCCCAAAATCATCCCAAAGCCTAAATTAGCATCTTCTCTCACCCCCAACCCTAGAGTCCGCCGCTGAAGAGAAGCCGTCCTTGCTAAAGAGTCGCAGAGCCATATCCGTCTCGTCTGCTCCCTTCCGATCCATGGCAACCAACTTCTTCACCGCATCGCCGCCTTCGTTGCTCTTCCCCTCCACTGTTGCTCATCGCCGCCTTCGTTGCTCTTCGTCTCCATTGTTGCTCATCGCCACTATTCCTCTTAATCGCCTTCCTCATTTTCTTCTCCTCTTCCTCTATCTAAAGTTAATGTTGAGCGGTGGCGAGGGAGATGGGGGAAGGTTGGCGACGGTTGCTTGGTTATGGCAGAGGGTTGGGGTAGCGGTTGTACAGGATGAGAGTTTGGCCACTGGAGAGGTGATGACGGCCCCCACCAGATGTGGTGGCGCGGACATGGTGGTTGTTGGTGATAGTTGGTGGTTAATGGCGGTGGTCTACCGTTTTGCAGGAAAAGGTTGGCGGAAAAATTTTCCTGTGATTACGACATGTTTTTCCAAACATGTGACCTGCTTAATCACATTTTTGACCTTTTAAAAAATGGTCACATTTTTGGAAATCACCTTAATTTGGTAATATTCAAAGAAAAAGCCCAATGTAATTTGAATAAATCGTTTATGCTCGCAACTGGACTTCTAGCTTATCTGGTTAAGAGATTTGTATAGTAGATGAAATTCTTTATGAAGAAATGCTTTTTCCATTTTTTTTTTTTTCGTTATCGATCGGGCGTGGCTGAGAGAGCAGATCGATGGCTTAAAACTGAGGCAAGCTTCTTACCTCACAAAGCAGGAGGGGGTGTGATTATGAGGACTCAAACTATCTATTAAGGATTTGGATCATCTTTTTTTAAAATTAGTCAAATTTAAGGGAAAATCTCATATTTTTTTCATTGAAAACATGTGGTGTTGTATATATATAAGGATTTGGTTTTTCACACTTACATGATCGAACTAGCCTTTAAGTATGCATCCGAGACAGGTCTATTAATCTATTACAGAAGATTGTTACAACATTAATTTCCTTTTAGTAATAGACAAAGACAATAGGAGTCGAACCGGTTCTTGTCAAGACTTCCTAAACCAGCTAATTTCAGTCAACTCCACCATACACGTGAAAAGACGACATTTTGGAAATGACACTATTCTCTAGCGGTAAGAACATTTCCTTTTTTCACAACTAGTATAATATCCGTGCGATGCACGGGATATCTAGTGGGAGTAGAATATAATACGTAGTAATAACAAAATAGTGGGAGTAGAATTTGAGCGGGAACACTGTAGTTAGCTTTTTTAAGGAGACAGATTTGATTAATTATTAATTATAATAGTGTGAGATGTGTAGTGATGATTTTTTTTTGGAAAAGGACCTAGAAGCAAAAAAAAAAGTGAAAAAATGCACAAACAATTGGGCAGGGTGATAATAATTTAATGTTGATTACAAATTATGAATCGGATTGTTTACATTCTATATTGGGAAAATTGTCAAATTAGTCCATCTACTTTTGATAAAAAGTCAATTAAGTCTATGTACTTTTTATCGAGTCAATCAAGTCCGTGAAGTAGTAAAAAACGACCAAATAAACCATTTAACAGGTAAACAACCAGTTACCCGGTTATATACTTACGTGGATGTTCCACATGGCAATTTGTTACTGTTTTCGTATTTTTTATAATTTTCTTTTGTTTTCTTTTTCTTTTTTTTCCTCTCTCTTCTTTTTTCTCTTTCTTTCTCTTTTTTCTTTCTTTTCTGGTCCGCTCATCTCCTATCCAGACTCCTTCCCCAAGCTTGTGAGGTCTGTTTTTTCAATTTCAACCACCTCCCACCATTCTTCCGATTCCACCATTTTTACCACCTCCGTCACCTCTAACTACTCCGCCACCTCCAACACCACCGTCGCTGTCGGCTGGCCTTCATAGCCACATCCTCCGGTCTCCACTTCATCTCCGCCGCCCCTTAGCCCAAACCTCCATACACACAGCCTCCGGTCTACACCTCCGCCTCCTCCGGCCAAAACCTCCGCCGCCCCTACCTGCATTTAAACCGCCTCAGACCAGTCCGACAACCACTATTGCGGTCTCCACCTCCAACCGCCATGGCTTTCATAGTCATCACCTCCGCCGTCCCTACCTCCATATTCACTACCTGCGCAGCCCCTCCTCTAACTCTGCCACATTCAGTCAAACATCCTCCGCCGCACGAACCTCCACAGACTGGAGTTACAGTACACGCACAAGGAACCAAGGAAAGAGAAAACAAAAGAAATAGAAAACAAATAAGAAAAGAAAAAGAAAAGTTAAAAAAAAATGTAAACATAAGCCATCTGGACAGTATAACCGGAAAACCGAATGCTAACCGGTTAAAGAGTCAATTTGATGATTTTTTGATAATATGAGGACTTGATTGATTCATTTTATAGTATGTGGACTTAATTGACTTTTTAGTAAAAGTAGATGGACTTATTTGACAGTTTTCCCTTCTATATTTCTATTCAGGCCCGTATACCATGACTGCTCATCACTCGGTAATTCTGTTAAGGTACAATAATATACGTAGTACTAGTATTATGATATGAGAGGATGAACATGTGAGAAATAACTATTGGTCTCTTATATAAGGGCATCCCCATTCATAGGATTATTTGAAGATTAAGTTGTTGATGTGGTGAGTGATTTTGGAGATCATGATTGAGTGATGAAGTTTATTTGACAAAATAATCCAGGATTGAAATATGAATCCAGATTATCTCAAGATGATTCTAAATGTAGTATTAATTACTGAGTGTAGGACCCACAAAAAATGTTTATTCAAATAACATCGGTATACGTGGATGCTCTAATAGGCTCTTCTATATTCCATGAGTGAGAGCTTGAATACAAGTATGTTGAAATGCAAAAGAATACTTTTGTATCGGTCACTTCATGATTGCAGCATGTCAATTCAAATCTCTTTTGAAGACATATTCTAGAGAAGAAAAAAGGATGACACCCCATCCCTGAGGGTCTCCCAACACCGACCGGACAGCACGATGGGAGGATGTAAGTTGGACTATAATCACAACCTGACAGATAGAGAGTGGGGCTCCGTCTCCGGTACTTGCAGAGGCCCTATGCATTTTTCAGCATAGTAACCTCTTATCGCAGTTGTCGGGATTCGAACCCGAGACTTAACCCTTGTGGTACTCTCTCGCTACCAGTTGAGCTACGCCCACCGGTGACATATTCTAGAGAAAAATGGCACCAGGTTGTTTGTTTTGTTAGATTAATAAGATCTACAATTTGAGAATGAAAACTACAATGAAAAATGCCTAAATCAACAAATGACTAATACATTGAGAGACATCACATCACCGTTTGCTTCACGAAAAATTGTGATTTCTTTTGCTTAATTTGAATCCTAATTCCTCAAAAAATGAACTCAATAAATCACTTGAAATAAATGTATATTTTATGATCTTATTAAGTTTATAATTATAACTCTATATAATTAAATTGAATCTACAATTTTAGAACCCTCTTCCTTGATAAATCACATTTAGTTAAGTTTCGCACTACAACATTTCAACATCTAATGTATTACCCAAAAGTGTTACAATAGCACTGAAAAATATTACATTAGAGAAAATGTAACACTTTTTTATCATTACATTTGCTCATGTTGCATTTGACCTATTGTAACACTTTATAGTCCCTAATGTAACATTTAAACTTCTAGAAAGTGTTACATTAGGTCTAAAGAGTGTTACATTAGAGAAAAATGTAACACTTTTATAGGTATGTTACATCTTCAATGTTACGTTAGGTCTTAAATTGTAGTAGTGTCGTTTCTCATTACAATAGTGTTATAAAATGCAACAGAAATTGAGGTTTGAAACATCAAAGTTTGGTATATATGGCACTGGTGTTCTTCAAAATCTTGGTTTATATGAATGACCACATCATTGAAATATCATAACATTGTTTGCAAGTTCGTTAACTAAGTATTCAAATTCCCGGAGATGTTTTAAATTTCGTTTTTTTTGAAGGATCAAATTTGAGAATTTATGAAGCGATAATGTAGTTCTCATAATTTCTTAAGCAATATGAGGTATTGTTTTTTGACTAGAAAGAGTAATTACCAGTACCTCCGTCCTGTAATGGTTGTTTCACTTCAATTTGGCACGATTATTAATGTAGTGTTTGAAAAGTAAAAGTTGTGCTTGAGATTTGAGTAGAATGAAGCGAAATGATATTTATCTCAAATTTCTTACCAAAAAGGGAAACATGACATTCATTTTGGGATAACCCAAAACGGAAAGTAAGACAATCAAAATAGGACGGTGGGAGTAATTAATATACTCCGTACAATTTTAAGCAAAAAATTGTAAAATTAGATAACTGTTGAAATATTATTGAATTAGTCATCTTCCAACTATTCCTGATTAGGAATTATTATCACCATTATATAAATAATCAGGAAATCATAATTATGATTCTAGATGATAATTGTGTGGTTCACAATTATCCTCTAATCCTAATAAACTTAACTTTTCTCCTATAAATAGAAGTCTTCTCCATTGTAATTAAACACCATGGTTACACCATTATCACACTTCTAATAACATCTTTCTCACTAAGTATTCAGACTATACTTTCTCTCCCTGATCTTTTGCTTATTTCCTTCCATTTTATAACACGTTATCAGCACGAGTTTGCTCCAAAACTCTGAAATCATCATCTTCCCAGCAGGTATATTTTTTCACGAATTTATCAACTTATCTGAAAAAAGAAAATCAGAGGTTGAAAAATATAAATATATTTATGTATATTCAAAACTATAAGAAGTATGCTCTATGGTTGCCCAACATTTGGGATCCTCCATATCAGAAAATTATTGCTATATTTTCTGTGAAAGAAAATGAAGAAGCCGAAATATAAACTTATTTTGAATCAATATGTTCTTCAAAATTCTATTATATATACATATATTAATTTATGCTGCGTATATATTTTATTAAAAAAAAA